TCCTTAGGTGTAAGACTTCATCTCCCAGAATGTGAGTGGGAGTAAGTGAGTGGGTTGTACTGGCTAAGGAAGTTTGGGAAATGAAGTCCACCCCCTATGGAAGTTAACCAGAGTGGGAAATATTGCAAGATATATCTACTGACCTCCTGATGCCTTCAGGTAGGACGGTGAACGTTGAATGTTTATCAATGGCGAAAGCTCCCTGCAAGTAGAATATTGCAGATACGTCAGGAACCAAGCAGAGTTAGAACCATCATAAATACATGCCAGTTGCCAAGCATCTGAATTTCGATCATGTGATATTGGGGTGCTTCAAGGGTTGTGTGAAAAACGGTCACTTTTTCAGCACCATTGTAACTTTGAAGAGTCACTAAACAAACGGTTGCAAGTCAAGAACTACCTGTGATGTATCTTAAGCATCTACTAGCTATTAGAAAACCTGCTGATACAGACAGACTGAGTTTCTAAATAATGCATTTGTGCTTTTCAAGGACTGCCTTCCTTCCTTGCTTAGCTTAGCAGTCTATGGGCAACCAGACCACTGTGACTCATCCAGTAGAGTGGTACCTCAGTACTCATTGTTAATTGATTCCGGGAGGCATGATGAGTGTCAAAAAGAATGAGTACCAAACAATTTTCCCCCTAAGGAATAATGTAGTGAGTCACAAGGAAGCCGACAATGGCTTGTGCATTGAGTACCAAACAAACAATGAGTACTGGGACAAAATTTTCACGTCAAAATGCATTGAGTACCAAATTCGATGAGTTTCAAAGCAGTTGAATACTAAGGTGTACCCCTGCAGTTTAAAAATCTGGCTTTGCTACATTTCTGTGTTAGCTTCTTTCAGACCTTCCTAAAATAAACCAGCATTGGTCCAGAACCTGAAATCAGAATAAGCGGTCACCAATTTACAATAGGAGCAAAACTTTTAAATTCCCTCTAGAGTTGTGTGTTGCAACTTGTCTTCCAAACACACAAAGCTGAAGAGCTGGGGCAGAGCAACAGCAGTCTTGCAATCTCTTTTGAGCTTCTGCACTTCTTGGTCTCTTGCGTGCCACAGCTGGATAAGCGAAACAGGTGTTAGCTTGGATCGCCTTCTTCTCATCTGCTTTCAGTTCACACCTGTAGGTGTAACCGCCTTAAAAGGTTTAATTGCTCTGACAAGCTATGAAGTGAAAAGAACTTGATCTGTGACCTTTGCTTGGGGTGCAGCTAAAGGAATGCTCCTGTCGTGTTGTGCAGATGAATGATACATGGTTTGGAAAACAGCTGGTCTGAGGGATAGTTTGTAAAGTGGCACATCATGATAACAAAAAATGAAGACTATAAAATTTGAGAAGTCTTGATTCTGAGCTGAATGAGCTTCACTTTGGGGGATATTGAATGAACAAATGATTTGTAGACTAGCCTAAGGCAGAAGACAAACATGGTGTAACTTTTACATTTGGTTTATTTCTTAGAGCCCTGCGTATTTAAATAGTTGCTCTATACCTTCCTTTCCTTCGTTATAAATTGCTATATTGCTCTAAGAATTCCAAGGACCCATAGAGGACAAGGGATGGGCAAGTGACTTTGTCATGCAAGTCCGAGGGGACTTGGGTTACATCATGACAAATGTTTCATCACTGTGGGTCTCATTGTGGTTAGGAACAGATGCCTACGTGGGAAATTGCTTCTGGTTTTTATGTTCGAAATGGGGGGGGGGGATGGAACTTACTTGTTAGCTTGAAGATTGAAAAATTGTGTTATAGAAATAGCTTATAATAACTGAATATAATGCAAAATGTTGAGGCTGCAAATGTAGCTAGTGCTTCACTGTACTGGAAAGAGTTGGAAATCCATGCTACTTTTTTCTTTTCCCTTTTTTGCCCCCCTGTAAACCCCTCTTCCTCCTTTTAATCTTTATTTTCATTGTGTTTTTGCTATAATAGATTTCAATTAAAAAATGGGAATGGATTTCTATGCAAAAAGAGTTGTGTTACTAATGATGTAGAAGCCAATAGATCCTGTCCTCAGTGGCTTTTGTTATATTTGTTTATTTTTTTATCCTGCCTTTCTTTTTTTCAAATAACTCAAGATGGCAACCTTACCCAACCCACCTTCTTCCTCCTCTTTTCCTCACAACAACCGCATGAGGTGAGTTTGACTGAGAGAAAGAGAGCGATTGGCTTTCATGCCTAAGGCAGGACTAGAACTCACAATTTCCTAGTGATTGACCCAAAGTCATCCAGCCAGCTTTCATACTAAAGTGGGACTAGAACTCACAGTCTCCTAGTGTCTGGTCTGGTGCTTTAGCCACTATACCAAACCGGCTCTGACATTTGCAACAAAGAAGAAACTAGCAGTTATTAGAACTGCTTCCCTCCCGAACTGACTACACCACATCCCGTAAGAATAAACAGAACACCCATTCATGCTTTCTTGCCTGCTGGTTGCACTGCTATTTTGAGAGCCGTTTTGCTAGCGTACTTCCAAAATAGCGACTTGCGCCCTGCCTCCTGTTATTCTTAATCTTCCTTGTTTTTGTGCTTCTTAAATATCTTTGCGTCACCACTGTTCTTTTTCCGTGGAGTAGGGTTGGTGGTTGTCAGGGTACATTCGGGAGTCTTGGACACGCATGTCCTACGAGCAAACCAGCCGGCGTATCCACGTCATGGCCTCCCTTCAGCGCCTCCAAAGTTCTGACAGGTTCTCTCCCGTTTGAGAGACTTTCCTTGACATGCATTGTGCCGGTTAATGCCTCTTAGTGAAGATATGCCAACAGTAATAACAATAGCTGACCCCGGCTTTCAAAAGTCATCACTGACGTAGGAAACTGGGAGCATCAAATTTCAAGTAAAAATAACTTCTTCTGGCGACAGGGCTTCCATTAAACAGGGATTGCAGGGAAGGGGGTGGGGGGATCTAAATACCATGACTTACTCCCACCCTAGTGGACAGTAATTAAAAATTTGCCAAAGCATGTTGTTTCTTGCATTTTTTTTTTTTTCAAATGGAGAACGGATGGCCTATCAAAATGAGCTCTTCCATGGCGAATGGGTTAAAAAAACCAGTTTGCCTGCCAATAAGGAGAGATGATGAATCCTTTTTTTTTTCCCCTCCCAAAGCAAGCAAAGCTTGAAAAAGGAGGGCTCAGCTCTTGCCAAATTACAGTGTGACAGAATGTTGCAGGACATAGAACCGTCTAATGCCGTATTTTCCAACCTTGGCAATTTTAAGATATGGGGACTTCAACTCTCCAAATTCCTGGCTGGAGAATTCTGGAAATTGAAGTCCACACATCTTAAAGTTGTCAAGGTTGAGCAATCCTGGTCTAATGAGTTTCTTAGAAATATTACTAACCCTACACCTATCCCAATCTCCAAATATTTCTGGAAGTTCTTAGAACTACAACATAGTCCTCTCTGCTACATAGGTAGCTTCAAAAGCAACATTTCCTTTGGACATATTAGATTCCCTGGTCAATGGCTTCAAGTGGCTTTTTAGTGCCTGAATCAAAGGGATGGGATGTTGTTCCCTTTGGTACAGTTTTTAAAAGATGTTAGGTCCCAATTTCGCTAACATTTAAAGGAACATGAACGGAAATTAGTGTAGTCCTTGGTGTTCTCTGAGCTTGATTGTTTGCTTGCAGACGTTTCATTATCCGATGAGGTAACAACATCAGTGCTAGAGGGATGTGTAAGGGCTAGAGAAATGCTTAATTTTCTAGAATGTTTAAATTAAAAAAAACATTTAAAGTCTTCTAAGGAATTAGGAGGGAGATTTGGGGATTCGAGATGCCTACGTTCCCCCCCCCCCAAGTGATTAAAATTGAAATAAATATTTGGAGGCAAAGAAAGTCCATTTGGGGCCAGTGGGGTGAACAATTTCCCTTTGTGGATTAGCTTTTTGAAAGAAACCAATTGAGTTCTCCTCCTTTTAATGGAGTTACCTTTTAAGAAAGCATGATTAAGGCTGCAATTTTATTTCGATTTCCAGATTAAACGATGGAGAGAGAGAGAGAGAGAGAGAGAGAGAGAGAGACATGGAGGGAAGGGATAATGATGAGAAAAATGGTTTTCCCTCAGATCACTACCACAGCTGAATAATATGGAGGTGAAATTCTCCAGAGAGAGAGAGGGAGGGAGGGAGGGAGGGAGAGAGAGAAGAAAGAGAAGGAGAGAAGAGAAAGAGGGAGAGAAGGAGAGAGAGAAAGAGAGGGAGCGAGAGAAAGAGAGAGGGAGATATCCATGGCCCTCCCTTGTTTGCACCCCACCTTCTTTTTCTCTCCATAGTTTCAGGATGTAAGGTGTGCCATTCAGCGTTACGCCAACTCACCCTTCCTCCAGAGCAACCGGGTGTCTTTTGTTTAATATCACACAGGTCCGTAATTCAAAGGAACCTCTCTGATACCTGTTGCAATGCTAGTGTTTTTAAGATTGAAAAAAATATATGCAGAATTGGTAACCTCTGTTCCACTTTATAGTAACCTGAATCTTTAGACTCTTGTTTTGTTTTCCACCTCATCAAATCTTCCTTTCTAATGAATTCACGATGAGCAGAACTCCTGAGACATTCCAATTTTTCCCCTTAGGATTCATTCATACTTTCTTTCTTTCTTTCTTTCTTTCTTTCTTTCTTTCTTTCTTTCTTTCTTTCTTTCTTTCTTTCTTTTTCCTTCCTTCCTTCCTTCCTTCCTTCCTTCCTTCCTTCCTTCCTTCCCCCTTTTAAAATGGCCCTCTCTCATTTATATTTTTCCTTTTGTGGAACTAAAGCTAGGATACACAGGACCGTCTTCCCCCCTCAAACAATGACCGTATTCAATTTTCCTCAGCTTTCAGCAAGCTGTTCAGCTCTATTGCTTGCCGCTGGACATCACTAGCCTTCATTAGATCCCTATAATCCCCTATCAATGCGCTGCCTTTAAAAGAAGACATTTTATGATTTGAACGTGGACGGTTGTCTCTGGCTTATTTCGATAACCTCTTGAGCGCATCATGACTTCTGAAACTGGCTCAGGGTTTTTTGGAGGGGCAGAGGAAGCCACTTTATTATGCAAGTTGGTCTGCAGGAGAATGAGAAAAAGAAATATCAAACGGCACCTATATAGCTAACCTCCTTTCCTTTCCAGCTGGGAGAAAGCGAGATAAATTTCTCTCCGCTAATAAACGACACTCTCATTTTGCACCTGAGCCTGTCTGGGAAGCTAGCAGTGGCAATTGTTCATTTTTTTAATATATATTATTTTTTCCTCCAGAAGTCTGTAGATTAAAAAGAGAGAGACAAAGAGAGACAGAGAGACACACACAGAGAGAGAGAGAGAGACAGAGGGGGAGGGAGGGAGGGAGAATGAGCGAGAGAGAGAGAGGGAGGGAGAAAAGAGGAGTCCTTCATGCACCAAGAACCAGTGTAATGTAACACTTGTCTTATCTTCACACTTACTCAGCAGGTATTTATAAAAGGGCAATAGGAAAGACTTTCAACTCAATCCTGTTAACTCTGCACAGGATGTGTCCGGATCAGATACGCTTACCTGCTTCTCTCCTACCTCAGGGCCAAATCGGGAAGCGGTTTGCCAGCATATTTCCCTTTTCTAGGCAAGCTACTCCGTGTCTTCAGGGCTACAAAGGGCTTAGGGAAGGGATCGGTTACTCCCTCTGGTAAGGGTTGTCCCCTCCAAGAGGATGAAAACAATTCAGTCCTCGATTTACCGCCACAATGGAGCTCAAAATTTCTGTTGCTAAAGTGAGACCTTTGTTAAAGTGAGTTTTGCCCCATTTGACATTTTTGCCGCGATTGTTAAGTGAATCATTGCAGTTGTGATGTTAGTCACTTGGTTGTTAAAATGAATCTGGTCTCCCAGATTCATTTTAAGTCATTTCCTTCGGTATGGTTATATCATTTCCTTCGGTACCGTTGTAACTTTGGACGGTTACTAAATGAACTGTGGTAAGTTGAGGACTATCTGTACTCATTCCTTGCCTGTTGAGCAGGGATTGATTGATTAAATAATCAAATAAATAAAATTTAATTTATATCCTGCCCACCTTGTTGTCAGACAACTCATACCTTACCACAAGCTATAAGAGCAGTAACCAAACCTGAAAAACAATAAATATTGCCACTAAAATTAACAGAGTTAAGAAGGACAAGAAGATATACAACAGGGCGGAGATGGAATCTTCTCTTAATCCACTAACTACCTCCAGTAGGGATTGCCTTCATACTGGAAGGATCTTTAGCAATGCAGCCTGTAGGACCCAGGCTGAAAGACTTAAATGGTTCTGTCAATCACATCCCCCTTCCAGTAAGCAGGTTCAGATAGTTTCCTACAATGGGTTGTCTTGGGAATGGAGGTAACTCAAGAATGTCATTTCAGTCCGTCTTCTCATCAAATGTTTCTCAACCTTGGCCACTTTAAGAGGCGTGGACTTCCATTCCCAGAATTCCCCAGCCAGCTGGGCTGGGCTGGCTGGGGAATTCTGGGAATAGAAGTCCACGCCTCTTAAAGTGGCCAAGGTTGAAAAATACTGTTGTGTAGTTCAATTCCTTTTTAGAAGTAAATGAGTGAAACATGCCAGTTCTTCCCAGCCAGTCTGATAGTCAGGTTTAATGAGAGCTTGTTGTTTAAAACCTCTGAGACAGAGGTGAAATGCTCCAGGTTCGGACCGGATTGCCCGATCCGGTAGCGATGGTGGCAGGTGGTTCGGAGAACCGGTAGCAAAAATCCCTGCCCCCCCCCAATGCCCGGCTGAGCCGCGCGATCATCAGAGGCTGTTTTTTTAACTTTTAAAAGCATTTTTCCTACAACCTCTTTGGCCGAAAAAATGCTTTTAAAAGTAAAAAAAAAGCCTCTGATGATCGCGTGGCTCACCTGGGATCGTCAGAGGCTTTTCAAAGTGTTTTTTTCTGCAACCTCTTCAGCCGAATAGGTTGTAGGAAAAAAAATGCCTTTAAAAGCCTCTGGTGATCCCAGCTGACTTGCCTGATCGTCAGAGGCTTCTAAAAGCATTTTTTACTGCAGCCTATTAAAAGTTGTAGAAAAAATGCTTTTAAAAGTTTTTTAAAAAGTTGGCCACGCCCACCCAGTCACATTACCACCCCCACCCCCACCAAGCCACACCCACAGAACCAGTAGTAACAAATTTTAGATTTCACCCCTGCTCTGAGATGCATCTTTTGGATGGTGAAGAGTATGAGTAGGCAAAAGACCAAGTACTGGTGATAATTCCAAAGGATTTCTTCAACTAGGAATTTCCCAACTCTTTGGGAAATTTCTCCCCATCCTCCAACGTCTCCTGCTATTAGGGGCAAACAACCAGGTCCACATTTGAAGATTCAAAATTACTGATTTATTGCTCAAGCTGTGCACCAGAATCTTCTCAGAAAACTAGATCAGGAACAACAGCCTTCAAGGAGTGGTTAGACTTTGTCCTTTTGTGACTATGTAGAGACTCCAAACTTATGCCTCACTTGACGCCTCCCTCTGACTGCTGGTTTATCTCCTTATATCTGCTCGTCTCTTTCCTTCCAGTGACGAAACTGTGAAATTATTCCTTCACTTCTAAAAGTTCAGGCCATCTTTATTTCTTGAGGGTTTTTTCCCTCTCTTTGCTTTGTACCTGTACTGCATGAATTTCACTTTTGGTTATTTGTGTTTCGTCTCCATTGCAGCTTCAGTGCGTTTCAGTAAATTGCACGTGCTTTGAACTGATGTGAGTTCATGATGCTATGAGCAACAGGCAATCCATTCTGTGCGCAAAGGGCTTTAGTCGGCTTATCCGGAATCAATGCTGAGCTCAGGATGGCAGGTTTGAATAAAAACTGTAAGGAAACTTCCAGGGTAGCTCCACTGTTCGAATACTTGACATTGTAATCCTTCCAGAATTCTTCTCTGGAAGGCCTTGTTTTCATATATATTATTCTTGTGCATATAGGTAGTCCTCAATTTACAGTCATAATTGATCTCGGAGGTACAGTTGTAAATCCTGATGGTCAGTAAGTGGGTCACCATGTGACTGTGCCCGATTTTCACTTTTTGGGTGTAGTCATTAAGCAAATACAGCAGTTGTACCCTGGTCATCAAAGGAACGCCACGATTTTTAAGCGAATCCATTGTCCCGAACGGGTCATTTTGTCAGAAACCAAAAGTAAACATAGTTTTTTGACACCCCCCCCCCCAAAAAAAAGTAAATTACTGTCATGTGACAGTGGCAGGTTGCAACTGGCTGTAAATGGGGGCCGGTTGTCAAGCACCCAAAATGTGATCGTGAAACGAGGTGGCCATTAGAATTTTGAATCTGGGTCGTAAGTAGCCCTAGGGAGGTCACTGTAACTTCAAATGGTCACTAAGTGGGGGACTACCTGTACGTAGCTTAAAGGCAGCAAGAATTTACCCCCTTATTATTCACCCTATTTTTCCAATTTTCCTGCTTTTGTGACAATCTCATATTTCTTCCCCTGTCCATTCATATATATATATATATATATGTGTGTGTGTGTGTGTGTGTGTACAGCTAATATTTCGGGTTTCTTCCCGTGTAATTGTGAACATATCCCTAAAAGGGTAGAAGCGACGTTTCGACAGAATCTCATCTGCCATCATCAGGCTTATGTGAAGGGTCTTTTGCTGTAACTGCGGTTACTATTTCAAATCATATATAATCATATACATATAATATATATGTAAGTTTTATATAAAACTTATATAAACACACACACACACACACACACACACACATATATATGCATATTCTTTCTAGTCAGGTTTTACCTACATAAGCTAAGATGTTCTTCAGCCCTAGTTCTGTGAAATCTCATTCACAAGTTTCTGGGCTTTTTGCTGTTGTTTTTGCTGTTGTTTTGTATCTTGCTTTTCAGCAAGATACAAAAAGCCCAGAAACTTGAAGTCTCATTCGTCATCTTCAGGCTGGTGTTTTCGGCTTCGTGCTTCTAGGAGCAATGTGTGATCGCAGCTGTTTCTTCCTTTTAACTGCTAGTGAGGGTGTGAACTGATTGGGTGGGTACATGTGCTTTATGTGTATTTCTCTTTAGCCAGGTTCTTCCTCCGTAAACCAAGATTTTTATGTAGCCCTAGTGCAGTGAAATCACAATCCACTAGTTTCTAGGCTTTTTTTTTTCCTGGCAGCCAGCAAACACTCATCTGCCCACTGGGAGACTAAGGAGACTAAGATAGATCTATTTCGGACCTATAAGTCCTCATCAGTTAGCCACACCCTCATCCTATGTATCCTCCCTGTAAAGGTACAGTATTTGTTTTCTTTCCTTTTCGTAGGCTTTATGTGTATTTCTCTTCAGCCAGGTTCTTCCTACGTAAACCAAGATTTTTATGCAGCCCTAGTGCCCTACTCAGGCAGGAAACCCTATAACATTTCAGACAAATGGTTGTCCAGTCTCTTAAAAACTTCCAGTGTTGCATCAAGTATTTTATCTGCAACAGGGGGAAAAAAGATCATATATCATTTAACTCATTCTCCTGGCAAATTTGCTCATTTCTGGCTGTTTGCATCTTGATCACACTAGACAAATAGAACATCCCCCCCCCTTTTCTTGTCACACCCTCCACTCAAGGAACCTATGATGGCTTCTATGAAGGAGGCCTGAGATCCCCCCCTCCCCAATAGTTTTCATTTTATTTTACAAACCGTTCCTAGGAGAATGTTGTAACTCTTCCCAGCCGCTGTGTTAGATAATGAGTGTTTTTCCAGGGTTGTGGCACTGAATTGCTTACTTGGATGCATTGCTTGTTATCTTGCTCCAGCTGAGCTGAGATGATCCACAGGGATTTTAGATAAGGGGTGTGTGGCCGAGAGACGGAGACACCCAACCGAAGAGAGAACTGTGCCGTACTTTGGATTCAAAGGGAAATGGTGTTTCCCAGCACAAATGTAGACTCTATAGGTGCATGCTTAAATCATAAAGGCAGCAAAGTATTAAGAGTCACGGTGGCGCAGTGGTTAGAATGCAGTACTGCAGGCTAATTCTGCTGACTGCCAGGCTGCCTGCAGTTCGGCAGTTCGATTCTCACTGGCTCAAGGTTGACTTATCCTCCCATCCTTCCGAGGTGGCTAACATGAGGACCCAGATTGTTGGGGGCAATAGGCTGACTCTGTAAACCGCTTAGAGAGGGCTGTAAAGCATTGTGAAGCGGCGTATAAGTCTAAGTGCTATTGTTATTGCTAAAGTATCTACAGGTAGTCCTCAACTTACAACAGTTCATTTAGTGACTGTTCAAAGTTACAACAGCATTGAAAAAAGTGACTTATGACTGTTTTTCACACTTAAGGCTGTTGCAACATCCCCTTGGTCATGTGATGAAGATTCAGACCCTTGGCAACTGGTTCATATTTATGACAGTTGCAGTATCCCGGGGTCATGTGATCGCCTTTTGCAATCTTCTGAGAAGCCAACTCAATGGGAAAGATTCACCAGATTCACTTAACAGACCTGTTACTAACTTAACAAGTGCAACAATTCATTTAAATGGAGAAAAAGCAAGGCTTGGTATATCTGGTACACTGAGAGAATCACCTTGGGTGCTGGCATTTTATTTTCTTTAGAACAGTGTTGGCTGGGGAATTTTGGGAGTTGAAGTCCACGTGTCTTAAAAGTGACCAAGCTTTGGAAACAGTGCTTTAAAACTAGCAAATCCAGAGGTGGGTTTCAACAAGTTCTGAACAGTTCTGGAGAACCGGTAGTGGAAATTTTGAGTAGTTTGGAGAACCGGTAGTAAAAATTCTGACTGGCCCTGCCCCCATTTATTCTCTGCCTCCCGAGTCACAGCTGATTGGGAGGAAATGGGGATTTTGCAGTAGCCTTCCCCTGGAGTGGGGAGGGAAAGGAGATTTTACAGTATCCTTCCCCTGCCACACCCATCAAGCCACGCCCACAGAAGTGGTAGTAAAAATTTTTGAAACCCACTACTGAGCAAATCTATACAGTACCCATTGGAAAGCAGGTAAATGTGTGGACGGCAAATACCAGCCAGGAAGCGGAGCATTTCTTCAGGACGTTATCCCATTGCTTCCTGCTCCTGACACCCTCTTCCTCCCCATCACTTCGTCTTCTCCATCTTCATGGCTTCTCTTCCTCCTGCCAGATCAGACCGGAAAGAATTCTGTGAAGTTAACGTTGCAAGTTGTCTTGCCTTGCGGAGTTTCTTTTCACATCGAACGCGGATTTCCGTTTTGTTCTGGCGCAGGGTACGTGCCGATCCATTTAGCGATGCAGTGAGGAGGAACAGATGTGTGCTTTTGGAAATTGAAAGCCAAATTAAGATCTAGGACCTCTGACCATCTGCCTAGCTTAACATTATCCTCTTCTGTTTCTTACATTTAGCTTACAGGCAGAGACTGCCGAATATAACTTTTGTGTAATTAAACTTTGGTACTGTTGTATCTGTAGGGATATTTGTTGCTTTTCTTTCCTGCAAGTTTAAATGGTGTTTTTTTTTTCCCTTCTTCTTCTGCTAAACATGATGTCCTTCTTCTTCACTCAGGAAATAACCTCCTGATCTCAGGATAGGGCATTTCGATCAAGACAAAACTATAAATGAGACTGGCCTTTTTTGCAGATAGAGCAAAGCATACTTGTGAACGTGCCTCCTTTCCCAGGGACCATTAATTTTAACGAATGGGTTTTTCTGCCTACCGTAAGTTTGTGTGTTTGTGTGTATGTGCTTAATCTATATTTTCGGTATTGTTTGGAGAAGAAAATAGGTTGCAACTTGTGCCGTTAATCTGCACAGAAGCTCCATGAAGGGAAAAAGAATTATTCCTGCTGACGATGGCTAATGTTCCGTGAAAATAAAAACGCAAGCTGCTTTGCACCTGGTTTGTTAAAGTGCTGAAGGAGCAATGTTCCTTCCTGCATCCCTGTCGTCGTGTCATCAAAACTCTGAGCCCCAAGAATAACTTTACTTTCACCCTTTGCCCACTTCTACCTCGTACTTACGGTGGAGTTTCCTAACGTCGAAAGGGGAGGTTTTTATGTATATATACTGTACAAACTGATAATGGAATGGGACAACTTGCCGCTGGACAACTCGCCACAGCCAACTCGCTGTGGGACAATTCTATTTAATTATTTAAAATAAATAAAACATTATTTTAATTTTTGCCATTCCCATTTCATTCTGTCCCTCCTTTTGTATCCTTTCTTTAATGGTTCTCTTCCACCATTTCTTTTATATTAGTGTAACTCTCCTCCCGCAGTGAGTTGTTCTGTGGCGAGTTGCCCGTGGCGAGTTGGCTGTGATGAGATAGTTGTGGCGAATTCTCATAGGCCCACTTGATGATGTCCTCCTGATGGTTCTTAGAACCCCACATGAGTGTTTCCATTTCATCTGGAATTTACTCAATTCTTCTTACCTTCTCAAGCTATGCTTGAGCTTCTCAGATGCTGGAGGAGAGAAATGTGATGCTCTCTGAACTTGGATGTTTGCTTGCAGATGTCTTATGATTCAGCTAGGTAACATCATCAGTGTGCACACAATCATCATGACCATTGCGATCATCAGCGCACCTCATAATCAGTGGCACTGATGATGTTATCTAGTTGGGTGATGAAAAGTCTACAGGCAAACAAACCAAGCTCAGAGAGCACCAAGGGCTCCTCAGTTCAATCCTGAGCTACAAATGTTCTCTTCTATAGGATATAAATATCCCTGCAATGTGTATGGATCTGGCTGATGCCACATACCTTCTAGTATGCGGAAGGTATACCTGGGAAGAAGATATATTTAGCAGGTAAAGGAAGAAGATCACTCAAGGTAGGGCTTCCAAGTGTCTTTGGCCATCCTGTTTGGGAATTCTAGAAGATGTGGTTTCAACATGCTTGAAAAGTTTTAAAAAATTACCTCTTATGTAAAATTTACCCAGTTTCAGAAAAAGGCTACCAATGTATGTCTCACATTTCAGAGCAGTGTTTCCCAACCTTGGCAATTTCCAGGTTTGTGGAGTTCAACTCCCAGAATTCCACAGCCCACAGAGACATTGATGAGAATTCTGGGAGTTGAAGTCCACACACCTGGAACTTGCCAAGATTGGGTAACATTACACTAGATTTATACTTCTCTGATACAATTCCTTCAGTCGTGGAATACAGGCAGTAATAATTCTGGATAATATTGGTGGAGGATCAGAAACACCATTTCATGGTGTTTTAAAAAGGAAAGTTCCAGAGGAGCACCAGAGAGTTCAAATTATAAAGCTCTGCAGAAACCAATTAAGAACAGCTAACTTGTCTTGTGGGTTTAAGCGTACAACAGTGACTTTTCAATTTGCATGAGCGTCCCATGACATAGTTCAGAGCCATTCCCTTCTTTTAACCATAGATTTAGGCTTCAATCAATGTATGTAATGGCTATGAATCCTGATGATTTCTATGCTAATTATATAAAAAAAACACATGCTCCTTAGATTTCACTTGCAAAGGTAGGCTTTGAAAAGAAGCATAAAAGCCTCAGTTGGCTTTTTTGCCACCTTCATTTCAATAAATCAACTCAAATCTTTTGAGGATCAATTTAAAAAAAAAAAATTTAAGAGGAACATTTTCTGAATTGTGTGGTTAATGGGTAAGATTAGATATCTATTCAAAATATTTAGTCAAAAGCAGGGGTGAAATGCTACCAGTTCGCACTGTTTAGGGCGAACTGGTAGCGGCGGCGGCGTGTAGTTCGGTGAACTGGTAGCAGAGGCAGCACGAAGCTCCATCCACCCGCCTGGATGTCGTTACTTCCTGGTTTTAACCAGGAAGTAACCTGTTTCTGACCCTATGCGCATGCGCAGGAGGTTTACACATGCGTAGAGGGTCCAAAATTGCACGTGACACACGCACACGTGGAGTGCGCACTTCCAAACCGGTAGGGAAGGTAGATTTCACCCCTGGTCAAAAGGTTTAAGGAGGAGGAAAGACTTAATGCAGGAGGAAAATGGTTGTTATTTGGACTGAAAAATCCACTCAGAGGTGAAAGTTTGGACAGAAAAATTCGGGGGAACTTTGTCCTTATCCATTGAAGGGCGGCAGATTTATTTCTTAAAATAGAACATATTTTAAAATTAAAATATACCAAGCAATCTACATTCTCACTTAACCCAATCACTTCCATATATATTGAACTGCAAGTTCCATGATCCTGAATATGGATTAAGAGGAAAAATAAGCATTTTCCTTTTTTTTTTTTTTTTACTTTCAGCTTTCTAACACTCATGATTATAGTATTGTATAGAAGTAAATGTGACAGCAGGCCAAACGTTTTAAAAAAAATAAAATCTCAGCTCTCTGGCCTTTAAAACTTCTGTATGGGGTTATTTGATTAAAAAACTATTCTAGCAATTAATCAAGAAAATAAATAAAGGTAATCCTTGATTTACAATCACAATTGGGACCGGAACTTCGGTTGCTAAGCAGTGGGGTTGTTCAGTGAGTTTTGCCTGATTTTATAACCTTTTCTTTGTGCTCATGAAGCAAATCGCCATATTCTTTAAGAAAATCAATGCAGTCATTAAATCAGGGGTGTCAAACTCAAGGCTCGTGGGTGCTTAGATCTGGCCCATGGGGCCACCCTGGAAACAGCAAAGGAATGGCCCACGGTGCCTCTGGCAGCAAAAATGGAGCATGCAGCCCTCCTGAGCTCCGTTTTCGCTGACAGAGGGCTGCAGGAGGCTGTCGCAGCCGAAAACAGAGCTCAGGAGCCTGTTTTCGCTGACAGAGCGCTCAGATCACCACAGGCGCCCCCGACATGAATAATGTTGAGCTAGCCATGCCCCCCCCTGGCCACATCCCCTCCCCCCCGAGATCAAACATGGCCCTGATGTGGCCCTCAATGAAATCGAGTTTGACAGCCCTGCATTAAATGAACCAGCCTCCCACATTTAATTTAATTTAATTTTTAATTTTTTTAATTTTTTTAATTTATTTATATGCCGCCCTTCTCCGGAGACTCAGGGAGGCTTACAATGCGTTAAGCAATAGCCTTCATACTTTTGTATATTTATACAAAGTCAGCTTATTGCCCCCACAAACTGGGTCCTAAATTTACCTACCTTAAAAGGATGGAAGGCTGAGTCAACCTTGAGCCTGGTGAGGTTCGAACTTGCAGTAATTGCAGACAGTTGGTGTTAATCACAATGCTATCAGTCTGCTGAGCCACCAGGCCCTTGTTAGCCTCCTCCCGGGAAGGTCCCAATGACCCTCGGATGTTTGCAACCATCCTAAATACATGCCAATTGCCTTGCACCCTCATTTTATCACACGACCACGGAGACTCTGTGACAGACAGAAATGCGAAGACCTGCCAGAAGTCCACCTTTTTCAGAACCATTCTAACTTCAGTCAGTCATTAAATAAATGGCTATAAGGTGAGGACTACCTGTAGCTGTGTTGTTTTCTGTATGTTTAGTTTAGTTTCTTGAGTTGGCTGGCACCTCTTAATGGGATGCCACTGCTGTTTTTTGGCTGGTATGTGAGGAGGATATGCTCAAAGGCTGACAGTAATGTGTCTCACGGAAATCAGGATGAGTTACAGCTGTACCTAAAAGAGGAATTAATTTTTTTATTTTTTATTTTTTTTAAAAAAAGGCTGCGGAGCCTGTTCTCACTCTTCTTCAACTGCCAACTTCCTTAAGAGAAGAATTCGGCAACATTTTATTTACAAAACACTGTCCCATTTTGAGAGGAATGAAAAGGAAATGGCACCTTCCGTGTTATTGCCAATTGTACATTGTGAAAGAAAGCATCCAACTCATAGGGCTGTTAAACATCCCCTAGACCAGTGTTTCTCAACCTTGGTAGCTTGAAGATGGGTGGACTTCAACTCCCAGAAGTCCACCCATCTTCAAGCTACCAAGGTTGAGAAACACTGCCCTAGACCAAGGCGTGTCAAACTCAACTTCATCACGGCAGCATCACGTGACATATCAGGACTTTTCTCCCCTTCGCTAAAGGGCGTGGCCAGTGCGTGACGCATCCGGCCCACGGGCCGCGAGTTTGACAACTCTGCCCTAGACCTTAAATCTTGTGGACTTCAACTCCCAGAATTCCCCAGACAGCATGGGGAATGTCCACAAATCTTAAAATTACATCTCTGCTCTAAGCTTTGCTTTTGAGAAAAGTGGTGGTGAAATCCAATTTTTTTTACTATTGGTTCTGTGGGTGTGGCTTGGGTGTGGCTTGGTGGGCATGGCAGGGGAAGGATACTGCAAAATCCCCATTCCCTCCCCACTCCTGGGGAAGGACATTGCAAAATCTCCATTCCCACCCCACTCTGGGGCCAACCAGTGTGAGCTGCACTGGCTTCCGATGGTCTTCCGGGTGCGCTTCAAGGTTTTGGTTACCACCTTTAGAGCGCTTCATGGCTTAGGACCCGGGTACTTACGGGACCGCCTGCTGCCACCAGTAGCCTCTCACCGGCCAGTACGCTCTCATAGAGAGGGACTCCTCAGGGTGCCGTTGGCCAAAAAGTGTCGACTGGCGGCCCCCGGAGATACGGAGGATCCCGGATTTATGCACCTTCCGCTGTGCCCTCAAGATCTTTTTATTCCAACAGGCTGGCCTGGCCTAACCTCCCTTTTTAATTGTAAATTTTAAATTTGTCTAAAACTTTAGGGGTGTTTTAATTTGTTCCGGGCCAAATTTATTTAATTAGGTTTTTATACTGTTTTTAAATTTTGTAATCTGTGTGTTTTATCTCTTGGCTGTTCACCGCCTTGAGTCCTTTGGGAGTAGGGCGGTATATAAATCTAATAAAATAAAATAAAAAATAAAAAAAATTAAACACCCCCACAGGTGGGTGGTATTTGCCAGTTCTCTGAACTACTCAAAATTTCCACTACCGGTTCTCCAGAACCTGCTTGATTTCATCTCTGCCCACACCACACCTGGAATAGGCTTTGAGTCCCTCACCTCTGCAGCATCTCAGTTTGGCACAACCCACCTTTGTTGAGCTACCAGAGTCTGTTATCCTGGAAAGCATAGTAGCTACCCTGAGGTATGATGGCTGGCCAATAAATTTTCTAAATAAATAAAATAAATAAATAAATAGTATTTCAGCTTCTAGAGGGGAGCAAACTTAGTTTTGTTTTTAAAAAGCCTGCCTTAACTTCTGTTGCAATAAATGCCCCTTTAAAAATCGGTAGGTTCCTTCAAAATCCTTTCCTCCTGGTGGATGGGGGCATAGCTTTCAAGCAAATATGTTTGCAATTCCATTAATTTGAAACAGCACAGGGGAAAATGTTTAATCACTGCTAATCTGACAGCACTACACGGCGTACATGACAGTTGCTTCAATAGTCCTAAACGCTGAAGTTGAAACACTCAATGGTGGCGACACAGGAGAAATATAGAGCTGGAACTGGCCTAGGAGGGAATCCAGTCTGTGCAGCTGAAGGGGTAGAGTAGACAGAGAAGGAGGCTGCTGTGTGTGGCAACCCCATTTTGACTAAGGGAGGGTGTAACTCTGTGGTAGAGCCCAGTCTTCGGATGCAAAACATTCCAGCTTCAATCTCAACAGTTTTAATTAAAAGAAACAAATCAATCTCACAGCTCCCCCTCCCAAT